AAGGGGCATCTTTCAATATGAGGCATTCTCTAAAATTTGCTTTTTGTTTCCTCTTATTTTTTATTAAGTTCTTAATATTCCTCAGTGAATGAATATTTGCAAGTAAAGGTATAGTGTAGTCCAGATTTACTTTCGAAGGCCATTGTTTATTTTAAGTGAAACCCCCTTTCAATTCCCATTCTTATAACAATCTCTTTAAGAGACTCGCCATCTTGAGCAAGTATCTCTTTAAATTATTCAAACTTCCATGTTTTGTATCTTGGTATTTCTCTTCTCTTACTAGGGTATGGCATAATTTCATTTGATTCACTTAAAGTGTGATTATGCATTTCATCATAATCCAATAAGTAGTATTCCTTAGTCTCCTTATCTATCTTAAACCTGATTTTAAAAGGACAGCAATATCTTTGGTCGAAATATGGACTATACTTACATTGAAATATCATTAAGTGAGCTGGTGCCCTATTAACTTTAATAGATAAAATTCTTACTAAGCTATAACAAGCGTAAATTTTTTATAAGTAGCTATTTTTTTAACTTGCTGTATAATCTTCAGCTTATTTATATTTCTAACATCAAAGTCATCAATACCAGGAGTAACTACACAGTCAAACTCATCAAATAATTCTCTTTGAGCTTAGGTCTTCAAATCTTTTTCAATCCTTAATCTTTATATTGATTTTTATACTATAACATAGTGACTTAAAGCCTATTGAAAATTTATATAACATTAACATTAGAATCAATAAACTTACCAATTCCCTGTAAAAATTTAACTCCTTCCTAGAAATTTATGATTTTTGTTCAGCTTCAGTTGATTATTAGCTCTGTAACTTTTTCTTATTTTTTATTATACTTTCTTGCTAAGCGATATAAAATTGTCTTAATTCATTTAACAGATTTTGCTAACCCCTGTTATTTACAAGGTGTTATCTATATATAGTAGTGGGAGTAATAATGAACTAATCTTCATTCTAAATACTTTGAACATCATCAATTCAGCTCATAGATACTGAGTTTAAAAGAATCAGATCAGACTTCATATTAAAGTATGTACTCTTCTTTTCAAATTCTCCAATTATGTGATTGATTAATTAGTCAGTATAATTTATACAACTCATGTCAATTGTCAAAATGACTTAGTCTATATTATCATTCATAATCTCACTTAATCTCTGACTCTAAACTGAGAGAAGACTATTTTATATGCCATTTATTGTTGAGTTTAATTAATATTATCTGTTATTTTTATTTCTGAAACTCTATATATCATTCGTGTAGCTCACCGTGGGGTTTTGGGGTTTTGGGGTTTTGGGGTTTTGGGGTTTTGGGG